CCTTAAGAAACTAATTTTAATGAGACTGGGAGACTAGTATGGCCAATGCTTCAAGGAGATAGAAATTGCTAATTGTAGTCCATTCTCTTTGATCAAATTTCTCAAGGGTGCTCACTGAAACTTCAATTTGATTTCTTCCTTGCATGCAGTCAATAAATCATTTAGTTCTTATGCTTTTGGTTTTAAGATAGATGTCCTTTCCAGAGATGATTATGCAGTCTCAAATAAACTTGCAGAAGTGTTGAATTCCATAATTATGGTATAATTGCTTAATTTTCTAAGTATAAAGATTCTTACTGTCTAAGAGCATATTTTTTCATTTTGCTAGCAAGTGGTATGCTTAGGAGACTCAACCGTAGTCCCATACAAATTTACCCATATTCCAACTTGCCTTTAAACTATAGAGCAACTGTATGGGACCGTTGCATACTAATTTATAATATCCTCGGGTCGATTTTTGAAGGGCCTCACATATATGGATTTTGCCTATGATGCACACCTTGCTGTAGCTATAGGAAAGAACAAAAAAAAAAAAAATTATAGGGAAGAGGATAAGCATTGCAAGATCAAATCCAAAGCAAAAGAGAAAGGATTCTGCTGGTCTTGGGGCCTCTAGAGAACATGGTAGGCTAAGTGGAATTATGTTTTATCTTTGTTATTACTTGTATGTGTTTGTTTGTGTGCAATGCGGTATATAGACATTTGCATGTTTGTGTTTCCCACTTCTACCTTTTATTTTCTTACTCCTTTGGGTTAAATGGTAGCGCAAAGTAGTAATCAGACTTTCAGGGATTCTAGAGTGCCACACTCTGCTGCTAATAAACATAGTGATAGCATTCAGCTAAAGGGGAGGAACACATTTGCAATGCCAAGGAATGTCAGACAACTTGGTGTCCCCTCGAAAAATCCAAAAGCCAAGGAAGTGAAAGATGAGAAGCCAAAATCAAATAATGAGTTTAGAGAAATGTTCCTTAAGAAGTGAGGTTTGTTCTTGGGGTTACATGTTACATGTTAAGTAGAATAGCACAGTAATTGACAAACTTCTCTTTCTTATAAAAAAACGTAAGGTTTTGCCTTAATATGTTTCTATAAACATAGTTATGACNAATTACAGTGCATAACTCTCGGTACTCCAAGATGACTTTTGCTAATTGCTAGATTGTTACCTTTGTTAATTGTTTTCTCATGGAATAGTGTCCTTTGCTAAAAAATTTCTCATTCAGCATGGAAGTTGCATGCACGGAAGATATCTTTATGGATCTGTGAATTTATAAAATTTGCATGTCATATTCAACTAGTACATCGTTGTTGTATAATTGTTGTCTTCAATATTTGTTTTTATAAACAATTAGCCTAATGTCTCTTTAGTGTACCATTGAAATTGCCGGCTCTATATGATTGGATGTATTATATATACTTGAATACTTAACTGTGCAGTTTCTTCCTTTCAGCACACATCAAATTACTTATCTCAGTAGATGAAGAATACAGATGGTTTGCTGCATTTGTATGCTTATTGGGCTTGTTTGGAGCTAAATTTGGCTGCAGCTCTAGGTGTTTGGGAGAGCCTGGTTAAGATCTAATATGGCCCATTCATCATTTTCTCTTTCTTATCCTGTATAGTTCAATATGATTGATTTATGATTCATCTTTGTATTTTTTCCATATAACTTGCTTTTCGTCTGTGCATCGAGTCAATGTTGGAAGCCTGGCACGGTTATATATATAGCTATGGAAATTGATTTTGGACATTTAAACGAAGCTAGGTCCATCTACAGGAGATGCTACAGCAAAAGATTTAGTGGGATAGCTTTAGAGGTATAATTCTTTTACTTTACTTGCTTTCAATTATACAAGATTGATTTATGGACAAAATTTAAATTTGAATGTTTCTAAACTATTTTTTCCGTAATTTTTCTTTGTTCTTTTTTTTTTCTGAAAATTGTTGCTTTTAGTAGTATACGATGCAGCTTTATTTAATCAATTGATATTTGTCATATGCAATGAAAAAATTTCTATCTTTATTATCTTTTTGTTGCTGATGGAAGTTGAAACCAGACAAATGGCTTAAGTCAAGGTTGTTAAAATGTTGTTTATCAAGTAGNTCGACCTCTATATGTTTTATTCTAGCATGAAAGACAGGATTAGAGGATAGGGAGAGTGCACCAATATTATCAACCCATAGGCATGGAGGAGAGTGTAAAGGAAAGCCAAACTCTCGAAATAGCATGCGGATCCAGTAGAGTTCCGTGACTGTGAGAGCCATGGACCTATATTCCACCTCAATGCTTGAGCGAGCAATGACTGGTTGCTTCTTTGCCATCTAAGAAATTAAACAAGGGCCAAGGAATATGCAATATCCAGTAGTGGACTTGCGATCATCTGAGCTTCCAGCCCAATCGGAATCACAAAGACCATGTAAAGCAAGAGAACCTTTGCTGAAGTAGAAAACATGTTCAAGAGTGCCTTTTAAGTACCGAATAACCTCTTAGCTGCTGTAAGATGAACAGAAGTTGGACAGTGAAGAAATTGACATAATTGGTTCTCATTATAAGCAATATCTGGTTGAGTTAAAGTGCAATACTGAAGTGCTCCCACAATGTGTCTATAGGCAGTTGGATCAGATAGTGATTCCCCATCATTCTTGGACATTTTCCCACCTGAGGTGCAAGGTGTAGAAACAAGCTTAGCACCAATCATTTTTGTTTCTGGAGGAGGTCCAAGATGTATTTGCCTTGATGGAGATGCATATTATCTACAGTGCGGCAGACTTGAATGCCAAGAAAGAATGAGAGAGCTCCCAGATTTTTTACTGCAAAGTCTCGGCTGAGGTGCTGAAGGAGATCAGCTACTGCATCAGAAGAGTTACTCACCACCAAAATATCATCAACATAAATTAAAATGAGCATAGTAATAGAGGATCGATGTAGATAAAATAAGGAGGTGTCAACATTTGATCTTGTAAAACCAAGCTCTAGGAGACTTTGAGAGAGACGCCTGAACCAAGCCCTTGGTGTCTGTTTTAGGCCATAAAGGGACTTGGGGAGTCTGCAAACATGTGATGGGAAGTCACTGTGTTCAAACCCTTTAGGTTGCTCCATATAGATTTCTTCCTCAAGGTGTCCATGCAAAAATGCGTTGGAAATGTCTAGTTTCTGTATGATCCAACCATGATGAACAGCCAAGGCAAGCACCAATCGAATGGTGGCAGGCTTTATAACTGGACTAAAAGTCTCATGAAAGTCCACTCCATGCTCTTCATCAAACCCTTTGGCTACAAGCTTTGCTTTGTACATTTCAATGGTACCATCAGCCTTTTGTTTGAGTTTAAACACCCATTTATTTCGAATGATGTGTTTATTTAGAGGTCTAGGAAGTAAGATTTTGGTCATAAATCTTTGATTGTCTTAAAAAGGAGTAGAAGTAAACTACAGTTCTAATTGAAATATATCTATTTCAACACAAGAGCTTAAAATAGAAGTTCAGTTCCTCTCCCTTGTTTGTTCTGTGGAACTTTTCTAAGCTTTGCTATGCCTGTTACTGTTACACTGGCACATAGAGATAAAAAATAATGAACAACTACCAAAATAACAAGTATTAATACAAGGATTTGTACATTTTCATGCGGATAGTGTAATAATCATGAGAGAACAGAATGGTTCTGATGCATGAAACGTTTTTGTTTTTCATTAGGTCAAAGCTACTGCTGAAAATGTTGATGAAGCTGTTCGAGAACTTCCTAACGCCAACTTGGTAAGGTACTCTTTTTGCTCTATGTTATTAATAGTAGATAGCTCATGTCTTTATCATGGTTTAAAAGAGCACGAGTATCATCTGTTTGTATTTATTAAGTGTTAAATATAAAGAAAAGCAGATGCCATTTTAGCTTATGCTTTCATAATGTGGATCTTTCAACAATAATTAAGCAGAAAAAAAATTATTTACCACATTCAAATATGCTTGTTTCTGAGATCCTTACTAATGTTTACAATAAGCTGACTTTACATCCTGCAAAATGTTCATATGTTCTTGCTTTTACAAATGATTTTTGATAGCTTATAAGTATTTTCATTATTATAGGTCTTTCAACATTAATTAAATCTCTCATAACCATTTCTTCACTATTTATTTATCACAATGATTTGATATATTACTGAAGGCCAAAACCAAGCTGTTCTTTGAGCAATTTCATTGCATCTTAGCTCATGCAACTTGAAATTTATAATATTTTTCAAAGACCAGAAAACTTGTGGGCGATCCACTCTCGGCCTGTTTTCCCATGGCCACACAAAAAGCACAATCCTTCTTGGATAGCAATACAAAAGGTACCAATTTGTAGAGTTCGGCTCTCATCATATAAAAATTCTGTGCTTAGAAAACTTTCACCTCCCATTGTATTAAATTTATATGATTTGATGCTATTTGAGATTTTAAATTTTATAGCTCCCTCCTCCTTTATTAATATCTCCATTTTTTTTTTCTCTTTTGGGGATAAACTATTTGAGCTTCATAGATCACTGGACGTGGAGAAAAAATTGGTCTACACCATTTTAAGCCAGTTTAAGATATTGAAAGTCTGGTTCAATTGATACCAAATGAGAAGATCTTATTGAATATATAGAGCTTTACACGTTTGAATGAATTTCAAATATATAGAAAGATAAGACTACATGTAACAGAAAGATAAATGCTATCTCTTAGCTGATTCAGATGAGATGCAATCTTCCTCTTCAGTTATCTGACTTGGAATAGAATCTATATGGTTAACTGCCCCCTGCAAGCTGATGGTGANAGTTGCATGCACGGAAGATATCTTTATGGATCTGTGAATTTATAAAATTTGCATGTCATATTCAACTGGTACATCGTTGTTGTATAATTGTTGTCTTCAATATTTTTGTTTATAAACAATTAGCCTGATGTCTCTTTAGTGTACCATTGAAATTGTCGGCTCTGTATGATTGGATGTATTATATATAAGTGAATACTTAACTGTGCAGTTTCTTCCTTTCAGCCAATGTTTTAAAACCCAACCTGGGGTGAAACCCGGCAAAGTTTCCGGGTCCCAGGTTGACCGGTTGACAAAAAATTTTAAAATTAAGCAAATATACCCCTAAAAATTACAGTGAAGTCCCTATAGGTTTGAAATTTATCAAACACAACCCAACTGTAAATCTACCGGCGATTGATTAGCGACGGCGACACCCCAGATGCAACCCCAATCGTCCCTTGAGTCCATTTCCATCAAAATATACCCAAGATCTGGCCGAAATAGGTTCGATTTTGGCCAGATATCACCGACGTCGACGTCGGCATTCCAGGCCAGATCCCATCGATTTCGTCAACAACAACCCTCCCCATCACCCCAGAATTACTCCCCTTTTCCTTCTGACCAAAACCCACCTCATCCCACCTCACCCCACCATCGTTAGCCCTGTCAATCACCAGAAAAATCTCATCGTTGCCGCCGCCAGTTTTGTTCAATTTCCGGTCGATTTACTCACCGGAAATCAACTCTTTCACCACCATTACATTCACCGGACATTGATCTTCAAAAGCCTCAGCGTGCTGACAGTTAATTGTTCACTGATCATCACCGAAAATTCTAGGGTATTGGATGAATAGGAAAAAATTAAACCTGGCCCGTTGAAGCTTCCGAGTCCCGGGTCAACCAGTTCAACCCACCGGGCCGGGTTTTAAAACATTGCTTTCAGTACACATCAAATTACTTATCTCAACAGATGAAGAATACATCTCTAGGTGTTTGGGAGAGCCTGGTTAAGATCTGGTTTGGCCCATTCATCCTTTTCTCTTTCTTATCCTGTATAGTTCAAAATGATTGATTTATGATTCATCTTTGTATTTTTTTTCCATATAACTTGCTTTTCGTCTGTGCATCGAGTCAATGTTTGAAGCCTGGCAAGGTTATATATATAGCTATGGAAATTGATTTGGGACATTTAAACGAAGTTAGGTCCATCTACAGGAGATGCTACAGTAAAAGATTTAGTGGGACAACTTTAGAGGTATAATTCTTTTACATTACTTGCTTTCAATTATACAAGATTGATTTATGGACAGAATTTGAATTTGAATGTTTCTAAACTAGTTTTTCCCNTGAAAAAATTCTTTAGCGATGTTGGCGGGGTTGGATCTGTTCGAATTCTGCAGGACAAGTTCACCAGAAAGTCAAGGGTATGACTCTGTTTCTCTCATTCATTATTTGTCAATGTTCTTTGTCCTTTATGCTTCAAATGAAAAAGAGGAAGTTATCCACTGGACCTTCCATGTGCACATCAGTCTTACAGTCAAATCCTTATTTAACATTGTCTAACCTTTAATCTTCAACATATGTATGCATTGGACTGTACCATAGAAATTAGCCTTAAGAAACTAATTTTAATGAGACTGGGAGATTAGTATGGCCAATGCTTCAAGGAGATAGAAACTGCTAATTGTAGTCCATTCTCTTTGATCAAATTTCTCAAGGGTGCTCACTAAAACTTCAATTTGATTTCTTCCTTGCATGCAGTCAATAAATCATTTAGTTCTTATGCTTTTGGTTTTAAGATGGATGTCCTTTCCAGAGATGATTATGCAGTCTCAAATAAACCTGCAGAAGTGTTGAATTCCATAATTATGGTATAATTGCTTAATTTCTAAGTATAAAGAGTCTAACTGTCTAAGAGCATATTTTTTCATTTTGCTAGCAAGTGATATGCTTAGGAGACTCAACCGTAGTCCCATACAAATTTACCCATATTCCAACTTGCCTTTAAACTATAGAGCAACGGTATGGGACCGTTGCATACTAATTTATAATATCCTCTGGTCGATTTTTGAAGGACCTCACATATATGGATTTTGCCTATGATGCACACCTTGCTGTAGCTGTAGGAAAGAACAAAAAAAAAATTCTAGGGAAGAGGATAAGCATTGCAAGAGCAAATCCAAAGCAAAAGAGAAAGGATTCTGCTGGTCAATGGGGCCTCTAGAGAACATGGTAGGCTAAGTGGAATTATGTTTTATCTTTGTTATTACTTGTATGTGTTTGTTTGTGTGCAATGCGGTCTATAGACATTTGCATGTTTGTGTTTCCCACTTCTACCTTTTATTTTCTTACTCCTTTGGGTTAAATGGTAGCGCAAAGTAGTAATCAGACTTTCAGGGATTCTAAAGTGCCACACTCTGCTGCTAATAAGGTGTATGCAAAAACATTGTTTTGAAAACTTTCAACTTATTTTTCATAAAATTCCTTATATTCCTTGTTTTCGAAAATAAAACACTATTTAAAATTTACAAATGGCTCTTATTTAGATTACAAACTTGTATATGTATTTATGTTAATTTATCGTTGTGATTGTGGCTATTCAGTGCACGAGATTATGTAAATTTTAGTATGGTTGTTGAACGCTTAACTATCAATTTAAGCTTTTAAGTCAAGTTGTTACATAACATTGTTAAGATGTTACTGAATTATGATACATCTGCTTGGCATTATTGAATGTATGCAATCCTTGCATTTTAACTCAATGCGTAAAGATGCTTGTCTTTGTTCCCTTTCTCAGGTTACACCCGCTTGGAAGAGCTGCAATTATTTATGTTACAACAGGAAGCCAAATGTTCCTAAACTAATAGATCAGAAAGAGAAGTCACATAGAAAAGTGTAATGGAAAGAGAAAAACATATTGAACATGACTGACAAACAGTCCCAGCTAAGCGGCAGAAAAATACTGCCCAAAAACCAAACAAAGTGCATGGGAAAGGAAAGGATGAGCACAGAACTTAGCTGAAGAAAAACAAAGTGAAGAAGCAAAACCAAGTTTGAAGCATCTAATGACCGCACATCAAAGACTCGCCACTGGAAGAGCCAAAGTATACACTGACAAGTGTACTGCATTTTTCAAACCTTAACTTCGGGCAAGTAGAGATTCTCTCGCACTTCAGAGAGAGATTGTTTTTATTCTTTTTTGACGCTGGACAGCAAATACAGAGAGATAATTCTAATGGTTTTAAATTTTTTTCAGGCAACTTCTGAAGATCAAGTTTGAAGCAGGTCAATTGTTCAAAAACTTTCATTCAATGGTTGAAACTCAGTTTCAAGAAAAAATCTAAGTTTTACGGGCTGATAATGGTAAGGAATATTTTCACTCTATCCTAGGAAACTACCTGTTACATCACGGGATTGTACATCAAAGCTCTTGTGTTAATACCCCTCAACAAAATAGGATAGTTGAAAGAAAGAATAGGCACCTATTTGAGGTAGCTAGAGTCTTAATGTTTACCATGAATGTACCTTAATATTTTTGGAGTCATGCTATTTTAACAGCTGCATATTTGATAAATAGATTACCTACTAGAATTCTTGATTTTCATATGCCTCTTGAGACATTGCTAAAGATCTTTCCTGGTTGTAGGATCCTAAATACTTTACCCTTAAAGGTGTTTGGATGTACTGCTTTTGTACATGTTATGTCTCTTAATAGAGGAAAGCTAGACTCTAGGGCCATTAAATGTATCTTGCTTGGATATTCTCCCACACAGAAAGACTATCAGTGTTATTGTCCTGTAAAGAGAAAATTATATGTCTCTAGTGATGTTACATTTTTTGAGTCACATCCATTCTTTCCCACTTCCCTTCAGGGGAGAATTTGACAGATTGTGAAGGTCATTCGTGGGAAATAGTGTTACCCTTACAACCACACTTGAGTCAGTCTCAGTAGTCTCCCAGTCCAGGTCAAAATTCAAAGTCACCTAGTTTCCTATAGGTCATCCTAGTCCTATAAGAATGAGTCATTCTCCTAGTAAGCCTAATTCAGGTTAGGTTCCTATAGGTTAGCCTAGTCCCATAAGGATGAGTCAGTCTCGTAGTCAGCCTACCAATTTTTGTCCTACTCTAACTATATAACCCACTCTTGTTAAACCAAACTCTCTGGAAAGATTGAAACTAGGGGGAGGTCGGGAGAGATTAAATCAGTCAGGTCTCTAATGTTATTCTCGAAGAACTGACTATCGAAGTGGAAGGAAACCTAATGATCTACATGAGCAATCATCCCAACTAGAAGAAACCAGTGATTCACAATCACAAGGTAAGGAAGAACTATCTTCTGATGAGTCTAAATCAGGGCATGATGATTTACATTTACCTATTGCACTAAGAAAGGGTGTTAGATCCTGTATGTTGCATCCTATTGCTAAGTATGTGGCATACGATAAGTTGGCAGATGATTTTTTTGGCATTCACCACTAATCTCTCAGCTGTGAAGGTTCCAAGGCATTAGGGGATGAAAACTGGAGGAAGACTGTGATAGAGGAGGTGAAGGCTCTTCAGAAAAAACAAGACTTGGGAGCTAGTGAGTTTACCTAGAGGGAAAACAAATTTGAGCTGCAAGTGGGTGGTTACTATTAAGTATAAGGAAGATGGAATAGCTGAAGGGTATAGGCAAGGCTAGCGGCAAGGGGATTTACGCAAACTATGGAGTAGGCTATGAGGTGACCTTTGCTCCGGTGGCTAAGTTGAATACTATTAGGGTGCTCGTCTTTTGCAACAAATCTAGACTAGCCTCTACAACAACTAGATGTGAAAAAACTTGTTTTTGAATGGTGAACTTGCAAAAGAGGTATACATGGAAATGCCACCAGGGTTTGAAGGAAGTGGAAAGGACAGAAAAGTGTGCAAATTTAAGAAATCATTATATGGCCTAAAACAATCTCCATGGGCTTGGTTTGAAAAATTCAGAACTGATCATACATTATTCCTTGAAACCTTTGTAGGTAAGATTACTATGAGGTTAAAATCTCGGGAGAGCTTGAAATCAAAAGTACGGAGCCTATAAGGTTGTACTATGACAACAAGGTTGCGATTGGGATAGCACACAATCCAGTGCATCATGATAGGACCAAGCACGTTGAAATAGATAGACATTTCATCAAAAAGAAGATGGAAGATAAGCTGTTATGTGTTACCTACTTGCCTAGAAGTCAGTAGACAGCATATAGTCTTACAAAAGGATTGCCCA